CACCCCCCTTCTCAGGAGAGGTGGCCATACTGCAATTCCTCTTTCCTCCATTCTCCTTTCCGTACCTTGGGCATGCATGTGTACACATATGCACTTGGTGATTTTTCAAACCACTGGGTCTAGGGTTCGAACCATGGTTGGCCATGTGAAAATTCAGTGTCTCAACCACCATGTCACCTGCTGGCTCCTGGAGCATTTTTTTTTTTTTGAGAGATTTTCACTGTAGGGCGCATGCGCTCGCCAGACAGACAGAGAGAGACATAGAGACAGAAAGCGAGAAATCACCCCCCAGGGGGGATGGTCACGCCGCAGTCCCTTCTCCTCCATTCTCCTCTAGGGATCTTGGGCACGCACGCACACGCGCCCGGCGTGAGTTTTAAGCCACCGGGTCCGGGACACGAACCGCGGTCGACTACGTGGGAGTCCAGCGACATAGCCATTACACTAACTGCTGGTTCTCAGAGCATTTTTTTTTTAAGTTTATTTTTTTCTTTCTTTTCTTTCTTTTTTTTTTTGAGAGGTTTTCACTATAGGGCGCGTGTGCTCGCCAGACAGACAGAGAGAGCCAGAGAGACAGAAAGCGAGAAATCATCCCCCAGGGGGGATGGCCACGCCGCAATCCCTTCTCCATTCTCCTCTCAGGATCGTTGGCACATGTGCACACATGCCCGGCATGAGTTTTAAGCCACCGGGTCCGGGACACGAACCGCGGTCGACTACGTGGGCGCCCAGCGACATAGCCATTACTCTAACTGCTGGTCCCTAAGTTTATTTTTTTCAAGTGAGAGACAGAAAGAGGGAGAAAGAAAGGCAATTGCCTGCACCAGGGTCTCATCTTGATCTCCTCCACCATCCTAGGCAGCCAGGATCCTGAGCATGTGTGCCTGGAGGGTACAGGTTGACCAGGTAGCTGAAACGTAATTGTTCACATGAATCCAGCCCCACTTGAGCACTGTGGATACACTGAGCTGACCCTTCTTCAGCACGTTTCTTTAAAAACACAAGTTCTGGGGCTCCCTAATTGGGTCAGTGAATCCAAATTTTCTGGAACAAGGCCTGCCTGAAAAATCTTATTTTTAAAAAGCTTCCCAAGTGACTAACATCCAAGGTTTAATGGTCTAGTTAAATTTTTCCTTCCTTCTTCTTTCCTTCCTTTCTTGCTTCCTTCTTTTCTCTCTTCTCCCCTTCCCCTACAGGCTGCCTTCAATATCTATGTGTCACATATAATAGTTCTGGAAGAGACACAATTTATAAACGACATTTTGGAAGAAAATATGTCTATAAGCCTAGAATTTTTGGACTACTCCTGGCGCTGTGAAGAATCTCAGAACCATAATTAGAAAGGTGATTATATTCTTTCTTTTTAAAGATGTCTAAGGAAGAGGCCAGCAGGTAGCATGGTGGTTAAAGTGCCGGACTCCCACATGGGTGACCATGGTTCAAGTGCCGGACCTGGTGGCTTGCCTTCTCATTTTCCTTCTTTCTCTCTCTGTCTCTCTCCATTCAAATTAAAATAATAATGATGGCAATAATGTATAAAATTAAATAAAAATAATTATTTTTAAAAATGTCTAGGGAAATGGACATAAATCTAAGTGTAATTTTGCATGCTTTATTTGAAGTCTTTATCACATTCAGAACGGCCCAGACAGAAAAGAATTAAGATACAGTCTCAATCCTAAATACTCTTAAATTTTAGAGCTAAGTTGCTACTATCTTTTCCTTTTCTAAACAAAATGATCCCAATTTTTCTTATTCTTTTCTTGTAGGAATTTCCCTCCATTCTTTACTATCTTCTAGTCCTTCTTCAGTTTTCCAAGCTGTTTTTGGTTCAACACAGACTAAAATACCTTCATGGCATAACTGCACAAATATGCTTTATAGCTGAAGAGCAATACATGGATTTCTGTAGGAAAATCTAGTTTATTGCCAGGTAGTGACCAACACTAGAGAGTCCACATCTAAAGATCTAAGGTGTAACATTTTGCTTCAAACTGAGAAAGTCTTTTACAATTCTTTATTTAGTGGTTCTGCTACACCCAACCAGCAGATAGTTTCTGTGACTCTTACTTACATAAAGATCAAATTTTGAATTTGATTTTTTTAATGTTTTTGCCATATGGCTCATATACTCGCCAGAGAACAAGAGAGACAGAGAGAGGGAAAGTGAGAAATCACTCCCTGGGGAAATGGTCATACCACAATCCCTTCTTCTCCATTCTTCTCTTGGGATTTTGGGTACACATGCATATGTGGCTGGTGTGATTTTTTTTTTTTTCAACGAGAAATCACCCCCCAGGGGGGATGGTCACGCTGCAATCCCTTCTCCTCCATTCTCTTCTCGGGATCCTGGGCACACATGCACACGCGCCCAGAGTGAGTTCAAGTCACCGGGTCCAGGACACGAACCGTGGTCAACTAGGTGGAAGTCCAGCAACATAGCCATGATGCCACTGCTGGTCCTGGCTGGTGTGATTTTTAAGTCACTGGGTCTGGAACTCAAACTGTGGTCAGCTATGTGGAAGTTCAGAGCCTTAACCACTGTGACATCTGTTGGCCCCCTAAATTTGATCCTGAAGTCATTCATATTCTCTCTTATTCTTCGATTCATTCCTCTCTGTTCTTGAATTGTTTTAGTTAATAACTGGCCTTTCTGCAGTTTCCCTAATGCTGGTCATTTTCTCCTAAATCTTGTAATTTTCAGTTCAGATCGTGCTTTTGGAAGATTGACCTATTCATTCCCATTCTTTACCCTTCTCTGATCTGTGTTCCTTCTGCTATAGGTTGGCTATCTGCTTCCTCTCCTTGATTCTGGGCCTGGCCACTGACTTGCTTTGGCTAATGGCTTGTGGGCCTTGTTTTTACTCAGCCCTCTTGCACCTCTGTCGTTGCCATAAAAAAGCAAACGCCATGGTTAGGCTACTAGTGA